ATTCTTCTCTGAAGACATTAAAAAAGAAGTGCTAACATAGAAATGATTTGCATATAACGTTGAGAAAATAAGAAATACTTTATAAATAAAGGACGCTGTTTTTCTTTTCATTTGTCGTTTCAAACGAGAGTGAAAAAAATATAATATATTCAATCACACATGTTTTACCCGGTTTTCTCTTCGGGAACATGATACATTTCAGTTGCAAGTTCAACTAGAAATTGAACTTCAGACCAGTACACAGCAATTTTATTCCTGCCTTTTCTCTAAAAGAAATTCGAAGAGAAGGTTCAAATCTCTTAATTCTCTCTTCACCCGCTATGTTCTTATTCTATAGCAGGTAAGGTGCCAGTAATTCAAAGAAAGAACATAACTTTTTTTCTCGATGAATATACATGGTCGGATAGAGCTCGTCGAGCTGATTCAGAATATATATGTTTCACCTATTCAAACACCCTCTAGGATGAAAAACTGGAAAATTGGCTTTGAGTGAAAATCCCTTTTTCCAAATAAAATCGATATTCCAAAGTTACATGAGGTCGTATGACTTTCTGTTTTCTCGTTGTCTCTGGAAAACCCTTATAACTCCTGAACGGAACAAGCTAGAAACACCGGCTTTACGTAGTTCGAAAGAGAACAATTTTCTCTATCGAATACATGTGTTAAAAATGAAAATCCAATATTGTTACTTTGAAAATCATTGTGGTTTTCTAAAGATCCACCTGAAAATCCTCAAAAAAACCGATCGACAATTTTTCTTCTTCTATAGTTCGATGTCCCTCGGACTTGGCTACAAACCGACGAAAACCGTTTCGGAATATCTCTTTGCATTACCGAGTTATTCAAAGAAGCACATAGTATCTTATATTTTGAATCCTATAGTAGTACGAACGAGAAAGAAAGAAATATTTCGTCGTGCAGCGACCATCACCAACGTACAAGGCTGCCAAGTGGCAGTTTCAATAGTTCGATATCTTCCCTGTAGTTGCGAACTAGCCAAAGGAGCTATGTTGTAGGTCACAACGTTGTGAGCCGCTGTCGGACGGATCATCCGAGACATGAAGACATAAGTCACTTGTTCAATGTTAAAATAATCTGCCACTGCCAAGATTTGAACACAGTACGCTTCAAATACGTGATAAACACCGTAACCACTAAAGCTATGTCGTCTACGAACTAGAAAAGGCAATTCTCTCTATTTAACATAAATAAACAATTCTCTAAATTGAAAGATTTCAATTGATTTTTAACAAATATTTTGTGATATATCACTCTAAAGTTTCTTCTTGCGCCCAGACCCACAAAAGCCCATGAAAAAAGTAAGAGATATTGACACGTATTGAACAAAAAAGCATAAGTCGTTGTTATTTAATTTTTAACGATTCACATGGTTCAAAATTTTTGCTTTGTTTTTTATTTCTTGGCAGACAAGATTGTGAGTCAAGAAATGCCAAATATTGTGAACATTTCGCAGTAGATGATCTTGCCGAAAAAGTACTTTTACTAGAGCAGGTTAAATAAACTTCATAAACTATACGCCCTTGTCCTCGAATTTTCTAATAGAAGACAATTTTTGTTTATCGAAACATGTGTACATATATTTATATCTATGTACATTCAGTTGTATATTGTCCATTTCGACTTTTAATCATTGTTGTTGTTGTCATAGTAAAGATAAAAACATGTGCGATAACAGATAGTTAAATATACAAGATAAAAAAAACATTATCAATACATATTAAGACGCAAAATTTTCCATCATTTCAGTCCGTTTTTTTCTAACTTCTATATCTCTCGTCGTCCTTCTTATACTGTGCAATCAAAAAGATACGCTCATATCGAGTGAAGATGGTGTCCAGTGATATGACCGTAAGTTAAGAGCTCTAATTATGGATTTTTTTTCTACTATGATCTTTATAATAATTGTCAAACGTTAGCTGAAGGTAGATAAGGAGCTTTCATTCTAAAATGAATATGCCGACCAGTACGTTCCGAAGGAGCTATAAAAAAAAGGTTTATATGCTCTGGCCTGGAGTATGGTGTGATTATAGATAACTTTCTGAAAACTTGTATACCAAAATGGATGCCGAGTTCAAACTTTCGTTTTATTTCCTTAGGTGCAGGCTACAACTCCCGTTGTTGATGAAATATTACGCGATTACGAGAGTAAAGCTCCAATATGGTAAGTATAGTTTAAATTTTTAATACACATTTTTATTTCTTTGTTTGATGTTTTCAGGTTTCGTTGGACAGCGACAATAGTTGAACATTTATTTAATTTAATTATGTTGATAACACTTTATGGACGATATTTATGGTTGAAATTTGTACAAAAAAGCAGACCATTATCTTTTAGAAATGATACAGTTTTAATAACAGGAGCTGGTAATTACACTAGTAAAACAATATTCACAATCAATAATCTAAATATACGTTGTTCTTCTAGGTGGATGTCTTGGTCGTGCATTAGCTATTGAATTCGCCAAAGAATGTAAATGTTTGGCACTATTAGATATACAAAAGAAACCATTAGACGACTTAAAACATGAATTAATGATGATCTATGGAAAAGATCATGTTAAAATCACAACACACAAATGTGATTTAAGGTGAGAGATAAAATTCTTTTGACTCACTTCTCATAATTTTATCCTTAGTAACATGTTCTCGAGTAGGAATGAACGGTAACGGGTCAAACGTATTATCGTTACCAATGCTCAGACCATTTACATCGATAACCTTCCTTCGGTAAAAAAAAAAATGTTTTTTTATGAAAACGATGGCTACAGAGTTTTCGGGTTTAGTTTTTAAGCAGTAAATGGTATTTTTATTCATGGAATAGAGCTAATTAATATCAATGAAAAACATGAAAAGAGTTTCTATTTACAGCTACTTCATTTAGTTTACCAGAAATGCTAAAATAACTTTGTGATGAAAGATTCGTATCAGCAATAGCTAATCGTATTTTTGCAATTCGTTGCTAGTGAATAGATGGTCAAAAATTTAAAATGGAAGTTCGATAAAAAAAAATCTTTACTCTTATTGCTCATCGGTATCGTTGAACTTATAAGAGAGCTGATCGAATCTCTGACCATTTTAATTCATCTACAAAATCTTTTAAAGTGTTCAAAGAGTCTCCATTTGTGTAATTAGTTGAATCCTGAAAAATTTATTCTGTACCATTATTATGTGATTTTTAGCGATTTGAATGGTTTGAAGTTTACATTGACGGCTATTCGTGAAGAAGTTGGTGGAATATCAGTTCTTGTTAATAATGCTGGTATGTACCTTAAAAAGATATGATTTGATTTCTATTTTCATTATTCTCTCTGTTTTTTATTTCAGGATATGGATGCTTCAAAGAACTATTAAGTCATACAGATGACGAAATTCAACATACATTGATCGTTAATACACTTGCACCAATGTTGGTAAGAATTTATTTTTTTGCAGATCTATAAGACATAAATTTCAAATATTTTCTTCTTTTTCATTTTAGATAACAAAAGATTTATTAGGTGATATGATCAAACGAAATCATGGTCATATTATTAATATTGCAAGTAGTGAAGGTTTAACTGGGAGTGCTTATAGTGCAAGTTATTCAGCATCAAAAGCAGCATTGATTAGTATGCACTCCTTTTTGTTATTCAAATTGTTTTATATGTCTATCTATAACTCAACAATTTTCATTTAGATTTTACGGAAACAATCAATCAAGAATTGATTCTTGCTAAAGTTTATGGTGTTCGTGCAACATCTGTTATCCCATTTAATATAGATGGAGGTGTTTATAATAGTTTAAGAAAATTGTATGTTCTAATTTTTATTAATAATTTATCGATATTTTATATAAATGTTTATGTTTTTTCATTTTTAGTGGTAAAGAAATTGTCTTGGGTAATCCTCCATTAAGATTTGATTATGTTGCACGACGTGTCATGTATGGACTTAAACGTCGACAAAATCCAATTTTACTTCCACGTTTTCAATTGCGAATGCTATATATTTTACGATCGTAAGTATAAAAATATCTAATTTTTTGATAAAATAAATTTTGTTCATTATTAAATCAACATAGTTTAAATACTTCAAATAATTTCTCTAATAGTCGTTTTAATTTACTCTTTTTTTTTTTATCTATTTAGAATTGTTCCTGAAGAAATTTTGCATCCATTTTTATTACATATGTTGGGTCGTTTACCGATTAAACATGACCATCATACGAGTTTATTAAGTAAAATTGAATAGACATAATCTTTTTTTCTTATCCTTTTTTAAGATTTTTATATTTATTAAAATATCCAAACATACAAATTTCTTTCTTAGTTATTATTAATATCTCTTTGTCTAAGACCTTTGTTCAAAACATATGGTAGTTTTCTTTTTTCTTCTTCATATCTGTACTAAAAATGTATAACACATCGTTTTTCTTTTTATATACTGTTTAAAATTATGTAGCTCAATTTTGTGTCGATAACTGTCTGTTATGCTGACAATAAAAAAAAAAACAAATCTTATATGAAAAGTATACACCATTTTTTAAATAACAATTAATCTATCTTGAAATATTCAGGTTGAATTAAATTATTAATAATACTATAAAAAATTTTCTAAAATATAAATCTATGTCCTTTTGATTAGTAACGCATTTAAAGGTGTATGATAAAAATCATAAATAAACTGTATAATATAGAAAATATAAACTGTGATTATTAAGCATTGAATGCAAGGCACGATTATAGGACAATTAATATCAGTAAAAATATATCATAGTTCGACTAAAAGTTGAGTAGAAGAAAACAGCAATTTGTAAAAATATCAGTGGGGATGATCAAAATTGTGTTGAATATGGAAGAAAAATAACAACATATTTATTTATTATGCATCAGAAATGTTATTCTGAGTTTTTGAAATCGATTCTACTGTTGAAGTATTACTTCCTGGTCTATTATCACCAGAAAGTTGCTGTAGTTGTTCAGGCTTTTTTTTATTACGTAATTCTTGCTGCAACTGAACGGTCCATGGTGTAATAATTTTTGAAGGAGTAGAAATAGTTTTATCACCTATTTTTGTTGTTATCGGAGTTTCAATTGAATGTGTGGCTGGTAAATCAACTGCATATATTTGACTTATTTTGTTTTTCTTTTCTTGCTGCTTAGCTACAATGGCAGCAAAAGATTTAATTAATTGATTATCCGGACTTGTAACATTGTTTGATATACGAGTTTCTGCGCGAGGCGGAGGTGAAATATAACCATTATATCTCGATTGTAAAACGGATGCACGTGCTTCAACAATTTCATCATGATTTATTTCAACTAAACTATCTGGATTCCATACAGTATCCATTACATGATAATTGGTATTTTTTAATTTTTGTATTTGAGCTGTCGTCTGTTGTTCATTTTCACCATTCATCGATATTTCATCATCCTCATCAACATCACCACTATTACCACTAATACATCGACAACTAATCCATGGACAACGGAAATATCGAGCAATATCACTCCAAGGTAAATCTGACAATGTCAATATACCAACAAGTCCAACAACCACACCCAGAACAGCTAAAAATGCGGCGCGACGTTGTCCTTGTAAAGCATCGTCGATAGCTGAAAGAAAAAGACAAATAAGTTTTAAAACTAAAAGCCTATGTATAATAAATATATTGTACTTTGTTATAAATCGTAAGCAATATGATCAGATACTTACGAATTTCACAATTTGTTCCATTATAAAATAACATTGAACAATTACAATAATAATCATTAATTTGATCAGTACATATTCCACCATGTAAACATGGTGAACTTAGACATTCATCTATTTCTTGTGTACATGTAGATCCTGTAAAACCACCAGCACAAATACACAATTCTCGTCCAGCATTCATGAAACATGTAGCGTTATTTTGACATGAATTGTTTCCATTACAATAAGCTAGAAAAAAAGATATGTTTTTATTTCTATCTGTTTTTTTCCATAAACAACAAACAAGCTGACCTTGATATTCACAAATATAATGAGTTTGTTTCACTTCTATATCATCCATTATATTGTACTCATTTTGTACTTGATTATAAAATATTCTGTAATTGCTGCCGTTTCCATTAAACATTTGTTCCGATATATTAAAATACCATGTAATTTTTTGATCACTCCATGTCCAAGTTTGATTTGATGCAAAACCATCAATCCAAAATGAATCTTGAATATTCCAACCTAATAGTTTTTTTATTAACAAAAACATGGATTAATGTATGATGTCAAACTTCATACAGTGTCAATATTTTAAATACCTTTGAGCCAGTACATCAACGATGTTGATTCAGTGGCTGATTCCAATGATAATAAATGAGTTTTACCAGTAAAATTAGATGTTAATGAATTTGAATCATTTACACACATATTCCGTGCATTATTCCATGTTATATTTGAAACATTATTCACTTTATAACAACCATTAAGAATATCATTGTAATTTGGTGGACACGCTAGAAAGAGGAAACATTTTTATAGTTACTTTGAACAACTTAGTGTAAAAAAATACAAAACTACTTACCAGCATGAAGAGTCATGATATGAGACAGCGTCAACAACAGGATGATAATCTTAGAATAGAAAATTTAACATTTTTGGATAAATTTTTTGTGAATACTCAAGTTTTAAATACTTACCATAGGCATTACGAACAATTTATGGAGAATTACATGGCTGTTTGTTGTTATATCATTTAACTGTCGACAAAATTTTGTTTCTCTAGAAACAATTTTTTTTTTTTTTTTTGATAAAAATTAAATAAATTTTCAACAAGAAAAAAAGAAATGAATAAAATAAAGATGAAATTTAGTTAACATGAACAATCGTATTTTCCTCAACAAACTAACTCGGGTAAATAGTACATTTTTTTCTCTTTTATCGATTTAATTTTCTTTTTCCGTATTATTATTAGTTTTTATAATGTTCAAAAAGCACACATACAAACATTTGATGACGTTGAAGAGAAAAATAGAAGAAAATAAAGAAATAAATTACCTTTGCTTTTCATATTTTTCAGGACATGCATACATACATATATATATATATATATATATTGTGTAAATCAAATGGAAAAGAAATATTGGGTATTTTCTCCTATTCTCAAGAAAATTGTTTTTCTAAAAATTGATTAAAAGGAAACGTTTTTTCCTGAGAAAAAAAATGAGACAAAGAAAAAAACGCCCTATTTAAATGAAAACACTTCATTAAGGTTTATTTTTGATAAAGCTTATAAGAAGAAATATTTGGCAAGGCTAGAATTTCTCTTTTTATCGTTCTAAGAAAAATTACGTTTTCTTAGCATTCAAACTGTCATAGAACAATGGTATTTTTGAACTTTAACATTTATAAATCTTCTGATTATACAAAAAATTTATGAATGACTGTACTTTTGATTACCAAATGTTTTTAGATACAACTGATCATCAAATTTTTCAAGGGTAATAGTAAAACATGAAGACATCTACAGACAGCATACAGACAGCCACAGACAGATACACAGACATCCATGGATGTCTGTGTTTGGATGTCGGTGTAGCTGTCTGTGGATGTCTGTGTGCTGTCTGTGGGGGTGTCTTCGTGTTTTACTATTACCCCTTTGTTTCTATCTTTTTTTATACATAGTGCTTTATGGTTTTATTTAATTTTCGAAAAAATGGTTTATTTTAATTAAAAATCGTTTTAACGCTACATTAATAATTTGGATGACATGATACCAACTGATAAGACAATTCGAAGAATTTTGTCGCGCTTTTCGTTTCAATAATACAAGCAAAAGAAGAAAAGTATTGTCATGACACTCACAGTAAATCGATGAGCACTGCAGTCAGATTTTGCCCAGCGTTTCTCTCTGTATAAAGCAAACGATCTGTTGTGTGTAATTGAGACATGCCAAAACATTTGGTGATCAAAAAAATTGATACCCAAAATTTAATTTAGCTATAACAGAATATTTCATCGTATATTACAAATGTATTTAGTATTTTCTAAATTTTCTAAATTAGTAAAAATCATTTTTCCTTGACATCGAAGAAATAATTACTCGTCACACACAAAATGAGTGATCTCAACCCAGTCTCTGACAGTTTAGCATATACTCATCCTTCTGTTTATTGGATCGTCTGTAGTCATTGCATTTCTAGCATAAGCAACAACTCACTTATTACACGCCTCTTCAAAGACTGAAGTAACAAGAATAGTGATCAATTATCACTGCAATGCAAAGCACACGCCAATTGACATATACTTTTTCTCTATTGTCCATCCAACAACAGAATGGTATATGACTGTTTTTTAATTACTTTTGATAGAGAGCTCTGGTTTTCACCATTCGAAAGAAGAGACTTGTGTACATATTTTAATAACCAAAAGTTTGCCAGATGAGTTTTTTTGAAACAGATTTTCGAGTTCTTTGGAAAACCAGACCGTGTGTAGAAATTCTCCAATAGGATTGTATTGATTTTTTTTCATGAGCTGATAGCGCGATGTGTTCTTTTTAAAATGGGAGACAAACGAGGTCTTGATTTCCGACAGTTCGGGCGCTGTATCGGATTTCCTACGAGTCCTAGAACCGACACCTGTTGGAGGATCCTATTGGATGATTTCTACACACGGCCTAGTTTTGCAAAGAACTCCTGGAAAATCTGTTTCAAAAAAACTCTTCTGAAAAATGTTTGGTTATTAAAACGTGTATCCAAATTTCACCATGCGAAAGAATGGTGAAAACTAGAGCTGTCTAGCTCGTTTCTATCAAAAGTAATTAAAAAAACAGTCATATACCATTCTTTTTTTAGATGGACAATAGAATCTTATAATTAATATTATGGTTTATGTTTTATTACGTTAACGATTCAAAAAATATTAGACTCTGGAGAATTGAAACTAGAACTGTGTGCAAAACCTTGTGTACTTAGTTTATCTACCAAAATTTCTATGACAATTGTTTCTTTATCTAATTAACATCGTTCTCTGAAACAGATAATTTATTGACAAAAACCATTTATTTTGTTAACTAACGTTTAAAACTCCATTTTAAATGTAACAACCATAACAAAACATACAGGCATTAGGTAAAAGATAAATCTAACAACGTAAAAGTAAAAACTGAATTACAATTACTAATATTACAAAATTACTATCATTTTTATAGAAACAAAATTAAAAAGACTTACACTCACATTTGAAAATTAAACAGAGAGCAAATTTGAGAAATACACTAACACAAAAATGCTACTGACTAAGAAAACAATCTTTACAAATGTACAAACGGGAAAAAATGAAATTTGTGTTCAATTATTTTTTAAATAACGATTTATTACCAGCTGCACATCGACCTTCTTTAAATAATTTAACTGTTGGTAATGATACACGTTCATTTTCACTCAATGACGTACAATATTTAATTGTATGTGCTTTATTACCACTGGCACCACATTTTGGACAAGTATAAGCCATTAATACTGGACATTCGATATTATTAGCTGCATCACGTAAATTATGTGAAGTATACACACTAAAAATGACACAAAAGCATGCTTTATCAACATGTCGAATCAAAATATATGTAGCCTTATAAGAAAAGTCTGTTTTGGCAATAGTTCATCGAGTCTAACGCTGTATTGAATCATACTAAGGTTAAGATTAAAGAATTATGCTGCTATTGACTATTCAGTTTTTGATTGCAAACATTTCGAAAAGAAAGACTTCTTGAGCACTCATATTCGCTGAGAAAGAGAGTTACACACTATAATTCTTGAAATATATTACATGGAACGATCCATCCTATCAAAACGTATACTCCATCAAGTATTTATTGCAAATGACTTAACATCAAGTATTTATAGTACAGAGAACTAAACATCATTACTACTGTCTCTGGTAAAATTTCAATTTTTACCTTGATGATTCACCGTTCGATTTACAGAAACTGCAGATTTTTCGTTTTCGAACCATTGCTGTTGTTGTTGTTGTTGTTGTTAAACCAAATAAATTTCCAATACTACCACCAAATTTTAAATGCTGTTGTTGATGATTATTTGTTGCTGTACGAGCAATCATATTTTTGATTATTGCAAATTTTGGACTATTTGGATTTTGATTTATATTCTGATCACTTCGCCATGGTAATTTCTCAAAATAATTTTGAGATAAAGGTGGTGGCGGTGGTGAGATGACATTTTCATTGTAAACGGACCATGTCGATGATGAGAGAGATTGTCGAGATTCAGATACTTGTAAAAATGGATTTGTTAAATCCATTGACGGAGAAGCATGCAAATGAACAGATGACGGCCAGAATAAACATGGCATTGAAGCAGCCCACGGTGAATCTAAAATAGTTGAAAAGATAGTGATGATAGTGATTAGTTATGAGACAGTATAGCTTTTACTTACACATTTTTTTTCAGAAATTGAAACACAACTCAAGGAAAATTAATAACACACGCTCTAAAATAGATAGCAAATACGTTTATAAATCTCATTTATCTACAAAGTTCACAATTTAATTCTGAACGACGCAGACTGACGCAATAAAGATAAAGTCGAAGTAAAATAAATCTAGACACTGGATAAAAAAGCCAAATTTCAACACTTTTTCTATCAGCTTTAATCAAGAAAAGGTTTAGTAGCTAAGTTTCGTAGCGTAATTAATAAATTAATAAAAAAAATGGAGCGAACGACAGCCTACACAACAAACAAAAATATTAGATCGTTTAACTGTTCATCATTCTTTTCTCACGTAGTTTATATGTCGGACGGAAAAAATGAGATTATTTGTGATTTTCAGACGTGCGTTGACAGTTAACATCACCGCTATATGAGTTAAAAATTCAAATCAGACAAATAAAGGAGAACAAGAAAACAGTGACAAAGAGTCATAATGCATTTTTTTTGTAGCTTATACTTAGCTAGAAGACTCCAACATTAAAAAAGTTTATATCATTTTCGCATGCAGATAAACCTGTTCACCTACATGGGATTTCGTCTCACAACACTAGTCGAAACAAACAATGAAAACTAATATTTAGTCTATGAATTGAAGAAAATCAAGCTCTTTCCTAAATCTAAAAATGCTTATACCAGTCTGACATTTCAGCAGCAGAAGTTTGATTTTGCTTTCAAAACAATTGATACCTTACTTGAATGAAAATCGAGTGATGTTCTGTTTTGCCCTTTTTCAATTCTACAACACAAATCAGATATGCTACTGACCATACACATTTTCTTTCTTCTATTTTCGGAACCCCTTAATTTAGTACTATACGCGCTAATTTTTCTATTTTTTCCTTTATTCATTTTACATCAGTATATATAATAGTATGATCTATGTCATACACAAACAACTCTGTAGAAAGAGAGAAAGGTAGTACTGGGACAAATTTCTAGGTGACACAACACATTAGATAAGATTATTTATTTTAATTGAATACTTTCTCTGGGATTGGGAAAAAATAGGATAATTTAGCCTTGAAGCTGCCAGAACCATGTTCTGAGTTATCTTGTCGAAATCTAGGATTCAGACAAAATTCTAATACACTTGCCCGCTGGTTACAAATAGAAATTAGAAAATCTCATTCATAAACCCTGACTTCAGATGATGCACAAAATGAGTAGAACTGGTAAAGTTCAGACTCCTCATGTATATAAGGCTGCGTGTCATACAACATCGCTACTTACCACCGTAGAGAATAACTGATGTTCTGTTTGATTCCCTACATTTAAGTTAATTCAACAATTGATTATTATTAAGAGCATATTTCTCATACTGAAGACTTTGATACAAGTGGCGTTCTAAAGCGACAAAGTTCAGAGAATGAGGAGTTTTATCCTAAAGTCCCAAGAGGATCGATCTGTTTTGATAAATTTGTCTGTCTTGTTTTTCTGAAATGCATCCTTCCATTTATCTGTCGTCTTCCTGAGCTGTTTTTGGAATCTTTTTTACCTCCTTACTCATTTTCACAATGTGTTTGACCCATTACAACGACTGGGTATCAAAAATTTTTAGTTTTAGTCATGATTTTTCTCCAAAACGACTCGTCAGATGTTCCTCAAATTTATTCCCTGAAAACGTCTCATTTAGTATTATCAGCGCTAGAAAATTGAGCTTTGCAGTTATTGTACAAATCTGAGATTTTAATACTCAAAGTTATCAACGAAATAAGTAAGACTGACTAAGATCTTATTGTTCATTAGAATTTTAAAGTCGCTAAAATCACTCGATTATACCTAAGGCTTTTATGATAATTACAAATGCGATTTTGGTTTACAAAGTCCATTAAATAAACCTCAGAAACCTTTATGGAAAATCGGGTTTCTCAGCTGCTTTTAGAAAACTTGCTGATACCATTTTTTTGTCAAGTCTCTAATAAAGTTTTTCCGCGTTTTTCTACTGCGTTTGATAGCAGACAGTCTAGACGGAATGTTCTTCTTTTGATGATGATGATGAAGATCAATCGACAAGAACATATCCAATGAATGTTTCGTCAGAACTTTATCGTCTTTCATTATATTGGTGGAAAAACCATATTGATTTCGGTAATATTTGCTAACTGACGTTATTATCCCCCTTGACACAGTGGGCATTTTTCGCTAGAGCAGGCGGACATTAACTTTATAAGTGGACTGAAATTATCTGAACGACTTTCTATAGGTTTTCGACGATTCTCTTTCCAATGGAATAGTTTTCAGTTTCAACAAAGTTTTCCAGTAGGTTTTCCAGAGACCAGATTTGTGGAAAACCCTTTGAAAAGCGTTTTTAAACTGAAAAACCATTCCATTGGATAGAGCACCCTCGATAACCTATAGAAGCAGTTTTTTCAGACTTTCCATGGTTTCTCTCTTGAATTTTCAGCGGAAAGTTCTTCGTGTGAATCCTAAATCTAAGAAATTTATAGAATTCAGAACGGAAGGACCGAATTCAGATGAATTATATACCATCCTTGCAGTTTTTCACGGTGATTCCGAATATATATATATCATGTAGGAAAAAATGTTTTTTGAGTGCGAAAAGGTCAGTTTACCTCAAAAACCGAGGGATTTTGGAAAACCAATATCTCAGTCCAGAAAAATATGCACACTTTTGTGCATTCACCATAGATGCACGGCCTCGCGAGGAACATTTTGGTATAAAAGTATGTTAGTTCGGACCTACGCC